CCTCTGATACATTCATTCCATCGTCATACAGTCTTCTGTTAAGCTTCATTTCATCCGAAGCTTCACTAATGTGAAAATCAGCTCCATCGTCATACAGTCTCTCTGGTAAGAGATATATTTTCTTTTCTTCATTAACGGACAGAAGTCTTGTCAGCTACATTTTGGGTTTAGTTCTGAGTGCACCGTATGCTAGAAAATCAGAAATCAAAACCAGTCAACACACTGAGAAGAAGATTTTGGTTGCTTCTTTGGCTTCTGGTACCGATTGTTCTCAAACTTTGCTTTAACGATGAGAGAATATAACAATTCAGCCTCTGCTGAATTATCATGCGGCACAGCCAGGATGCTTCAAAATCAAAACAAACCATTTTCATAAAATTTCAGTAAGATTAACATCTTTTTAATAACATTAAAACATAATTGTGTCTAGCAGCAATAAAATGGTCTATTCAATTCTTCAAATCCCAGAATTGAAGAACCTAGGCATTAGGCCCTAAGTTATTAGCCCTTTTGGTTACCTAATAGGTAGTCCACCTGAATAACCAGGATTCTATCGTCCCTTTGAGAGTTCCTCCCCTTACCCCTTCACAATTAACCAAACTTTCAATATATATATAAATTCCAGGATGGAAGTAGCTCAAAGTAGTAGGATTTAGAACTACTTAATTTTTTTTAGTTTAGCAGCCCAGGTGACCCTGGGCTAGCTTAAGTGCACTTCCAAACTAATCCCTCCCCAGTCTAGGACTAGATAATTCATGCCTCCAGAAATCGAACCTTGGTGAACAAGGTGGGAGCAAACCCCTTGCCAACTAAGCCAAAACTCCTTGGATTAGAACTACTTAATTTATGATGCTCTAACCTGTTGCTTTATAACAAATGGAGTAGTTGACCAAAAAAATGAAAAAAGAAGAGAAACTGAGCATACATAACAAATGCAATTAACATGATAATTAAGAAAAAAATAGAAAGGAAACCTCATAGTTTTAATAGCTTTTAGTTTTGATGCTTCTGAACTAATGGTAGTCCCTACACAACAAGAATTTAATAGAGAATTAACCAAATTAAGTTTCCCTATGCCAAATTTGATAGGTGGCTACCTGTCAAGTAATTCCTCCAGAATGGTTCGCTGTGAAGGTGTTACATAATGGATACAACTTCTTGGGCACTGACCAACTGCTTGCTGAACTTGGTAATCTTCACCATGTCCTGATTAAATGCAGAATTAACTTAAATTGGAGAACAAGTCATTGTTATAAAAGCTATAAACTCCCCAAATATAGGCATATTTTGGCAGAAAAAAGGACTATTTCTGGTATTTGAAAGTATGCTCAAGCTGAACAAAGAAGTATTGGTGAACAAACTGACCTTGAGAAGTAGCCCGTGCAGTCCCAGTTGAAGAAGCATACGTGAAGGCATGAGATGCTCTCTCCACACAGGAATATGGGCATGCTGCAGATGGTTTAGAAATAAGAATGACATTGTGAAAAGTTTATTGAAACAAATATAAATGTGCATTTACAGATCAACAAAATACACAAAAGCTAGGACTGAAGCATATCTGCTGTGAAACATCTGTTTCTGCATTAAACTAAATGATTTCTTCAGAAATAAACAGTATTGAAATGAAACAAAGCTGAATGAGGAAGTTTCTGATAAAGTTCCATGGAGTTGTGAACAAATGAACTCATTAGTACCTTTTCCAATGCAAAGAATTTCGTTAACGAAGATATCAAATGCTTCGCATTCTGGTTTGTCAAAGGGATCTAAACATTCCCTACACACATTTTCATAAATGAGATTCGTAAAAATGCATCCATGTTACAAAGATGTCCTTTGGAGAATAGAGAAAGAAAAGGGCAGTGGCTAGTAAAAGATCAAATGCAAGGGGATGAAGGAAGGACAACGGATGATTGAATATGCAATTGAATTGGTGGAATACAGAAATATTAAAAAAATATCAGTATCTGAAGTAATGAGCTTTTTAATGCAGCTGCTAGCAATGACAATGCTTGAACAAATAAAATACATGACATCTAACTGTCTCAAAATAAGCATACTGGCAAAAAACAAGTAATTCACCTCTCAATTATCTCTGATCGGCTGTAATTAGATAACAGCTGCAGGCAAAAGCAAACCAGAAAATTTATAAACAGTCACTAACTAGCTACCAACAATAAGACAAATTTGGAGGGACAAATTAGCAACCCCAAAATAACTGTAACAGAAGGAGTATGATCAAAGGCAACAGAAATATATAAGATATATACAACTAAAAATTTGATACATTTTCAAGGAAATATATCAAATTTTAATTTTCAAACATTTTCATGCATCTAAATGCTAACATCAAAACCAAAAACAATACCTCATATGCTTTGATTACTCGGCGGATCATTGCATCTGATTCACCATTTCTATTCAAATCAGGATGGTACTGCTTCACCTTTTTACCCAAAAAATAAACAAAATTGAAAAGAAAAACAATTAGATAATACGTCACTCCGAATTAGCATGAGCATATTTAAAAAAACCAAAAAAAAAAAAATAAATAAATAAAGAGGAACAAAATTACTATTTCCTTCCAGTTTTCTACTCTGGATTTTGCTGCATCCACTGCTCAAACATTGTATGCAGAAGAAGAAACTGAACATTTAATTTCTTTTCAACAATTTTCTCAGCAATTTTACAAAAAGAGAAAACAGTATTCTCAGCAAATTATACAATCGGACCTACGTTGAATTGAAGGGAGGAACAGAGTTGGTAACCGTACTTTAGTGCGGAAAGCAGCTTTGAGGTCGACGGCTGAGCAGCCGGAGTCGACGCCGAGGATGGAGTAAGCCAAAGAACTGGTGAGGCTTGTATCTCCAGAATTCGCCGCGAATCGAGGAGAACGGCGGCGAGGGTGAGTTATTGGGGAAGGGAAGTTGGAGAAGGAGTGAGTGTAGGGAAGCAGAAGGGTTCTTGGAAGTGGAAGAATCGGAGGAATTGAACAGTAGAGAGGAAAGCATTCCATTTCTCTGTTTCCCTCTCTAGATTTCTGTTAATTGTTTTCTCTTTAACGAAACACCAGACGATTTTCTACAGCAGATAGTAGACAA